CTGCCACTGCCGTGCACTTGCAGCAGCGCCCCCACCGCGCCGGTCGTGGCCGCCAGGGAGGGCGTGGTGGTGGAGCTGGTGGTGGTGGTGGTGGTGCCGGGGACAGTGGTTCTACTGAGGGGACTGCCGCAGCTAGTCAGGAGCAGTAGCCCTCGCCCCAGCAGCAGGAGCAGCCACCGCAGCCGTCGCAGCATTCGCAGTCGTCCCCACAGCTGTCCCAGCCCCAGCCGTGGGCTCGTCTCCCCCCGGGTTGGCCCGCCACCTCTGTAGGTGGTGGCCGTGGTGGCGGCCCGCGCAGCTTGGCATCTACCGGCAGCTCCGTTGGTGTGACCTGCAAGTACCAGCTTCAGACCGGGCCTCTCCGGGGCACTCTGTGCTGCCGCCCGCACCCGACCACCCGCTGTTTCCGCCGCCTCGACGATCTCTTTCGTCGTCGCTTTGGCCCGGCCCCGGACCTCCCCGACTGGCACAGCCTGCTTCGCCAGGGTGTGCCGATCCTTGATTAAAATATGGATCAGATAGGTGCTGCTTTGCATGCCTTGTATGCTGACGCTTCTAGTGTTGCTAGATCCTATTACACTGTACACTCTAGTTTAGGTGTAGCACCCTTGTGTAGCTTAGCCTCCCCTGCTGCGTCAGGCATAGGACTGTCTAGTTTGCTTAGCCTAGTTTCTGCACCGGCTCCGTTCCCGGCCTCCGCTACTGCATCGCTGTCCTTCACTCTCGACTCCGGTGTTTCTGCCTGTTTCTTCCGCGACCGCTCCACGCTCACGCTGCTTGTTGCGCCTGCTATTGTCGCTCTCGTTGACCCCTCCACTGGTCCTATCGTAGCTCGCAGCTCCACTTCCCTTCCCTGTCCAGCCGTTCCCTCGGGCTCTCTTACAGGCCTCCACGTTCTCTCATTCTCTAGGAACCTGGTTGGTGTCGGCCGTCTTCAAGACCTCGGCGTCACTACTACGTTCCCTGGGCACGAGCGGTTCGCTGTCTGTACCGAGGCAGTCTCAGGTCCCCCCCTTGCGACGTTCCCCTGGGACCCGGTATCCGGTCTGTTTACCCTCGATACCCCTTCCCCCCCGGCTGGTGCATCCTCCCAGGTCGCTGCAGCTTGCTCGTGTCGGTCCCTCACACACCCGTCCCTTCTGTGGCACCACATCTTAGGTCACCCTGCTCTCCCGCGCCTGCGTCACATGTCTCAGCACGGTCTTGTCTTAGGCCTCCTCGAGTCGCTCCCCGCACTTCCCCCCTCGACTGCGCCACCGTGCACACCTTGCGTCGAGGGCCGGCTCCGCCGTGCCCCTCACTCCTCCTCGCTTCGCCCTGCTACTGCTCCCCTTCAGACCCTGCACCTGGACGTTTGGGGCCAAGACCCTGTCCCCGGACCGCGCGGTGAGCGCTACTTTCTTGTGCTCGTCGATGACTACACGCGCTACACCACGGTGTTTCCCCTGGAGCGGAAGGCCGACGTGCCCGACGTTCTTCTCCCGTGGGTTGTGGCTGCGCGTCTTCAGCGCGGTCTCCCCGTGTTGTGTCTCCGCTCTGACCGTGGTGGCGAGTTTGCCTCTGGTCGGCTTGGACAGTTCTGTCGTGCGGAGGGCATCACCCAGTCGTACACCTTGCCGGACTCGCCACAACAGAATGGGGTTGCTGAGCGCCGCATCGGCTTGGTCATGGAGGTTGCTCGTACCTCTATGATTCATGCCGATGCCCCCCATTTTCTGTGGCCGTTCGCTGTGTGCTACGCCGCTCACCAGCTTAGCCTGTGGCCACGCTCCCAGCCGCCGCGGGTTTCGCCGACCCTCCTTTGGACCGGGTCCCCCGGTGACGTGTCTGCGTTCCACGTCTGGGGTTGCCTTGCTCACGTCCATGCCTCTGGCACGGACAAGCTCACTGCCCGCACTGTCCCCTGTGTCTTCCTCGGTTTCCCCCTGGACTCGTCTGACTGGTTGTTTTACCACCCTCAGTTTCACCGCTTCCTTCACTCTCGTGACGTCACCCTTGACGAGTCTGTCTCCTACCGTCGCTTCCCTCACCGAGGTCTCCCGGTTCCCCACCCCTTGTTCCTTGCTCCCTCTCTCCCGGTAGCCCCTGCTCCCCTCCCGCCTCGTCCTGCCCCGTCTGGTGTCTCCCATGTCACTCCCCTCCCGTCAGTTGTCCTCCTTGAGGAGTTTGCTGACTCTGGTGGTCCCCCCAGCCCGTCCTTGCCGCGTCCCTCTTCCCCGGTGTCTCCGCCTCCGCTGTCGCAGCCGCCGTCGCCGCCGCCGCCGCCGCCGCCGCCGCCGTCGCTGCCGCCGCCGCTGCCGCTCTTGGCCTCTGGGGGTGCTGGCGTTGAGGAGGGTGTTCGTCCTGCGGCCCCTGGCGTGGTCTGTCCCGGCAGGCCTGGGGGTGCCGCCGGTGCTGGAGGGGGGTCTCGCTCCGGGGGTGTTGGTTCTGGGGGTGCTGCTGTTGAGTGTTCTCCCAGCGGCCGTCGTGCCCCTGCCGGTCCGCGGGTCGAACACCAGCCGCCGCAACAGCCGCCGCAGCCGTCGCCGATGATCTCCGCTCTTCGCCTGCTCGGCCTTCCCTCCCCCGACCGCTCGCCGGTGTCTCCCCCACCACCTTCTCACCTTCTTGTCTGCGGCCCTGTGTTCCCACCGCCGGACTCGTCTCCGGCCCGTCGTCCTCCTCGTTCCCCTTTTGTGTCCCCTGCGCTGTCTCTTGACCCTACACCTCCGTCCCACGTATGGTCTTGCCGTCCCTCCCGTGCTCGTCCCGTCTCTCCTATCCTGCGCTCCCACCCTATGTTGCTCCGTTCCTACTCGTCTCGTCCTCCCCTCCTCCCGTCGCCTCCTCCCTCGTCGTTTGTTGTTGCACCTCCCCCGCTGTCTGACTACCTCCGTGCCGATCGTCCCCTTGTCCCTCGGTTTCTTGCCTCATGTTACAGACCCGTCTTTTCCAGTCTCGCGCCTTGACGCGCTTGTCGCGGCTGTCGCTGACTTCGCCTCTACCCGCCGCCTTGACTACGCTACCGCTCTGGTCTCTGACCCTGCCCGTCCTCCGTCCGTTGGGGGTGCACCTGCCATTGGCAGTGACGTTCTAGAGGACCGGCAGTACGAGCTTGCTTTCCTTTCCGAGGCCGCTCCCCATCTCTGCTCCATGCTCCTAGTCCCAGAGGGTGACCCAGACGCCTTCGACATCCCGACCCCTTGCACTTACGTTGAGGCCACCTCGGGACCTTGGGCCTCTCACTGGATAGCTGCCATGGAGCAGGAGATGGCATCTTGGAGGTCCACCGGCACTTACATCGACGCAATTTCCCCCCCCTGGGGTGAACGTAGTCGATGGTCGGTGGCTCTTCAAGGTGAAGCGCCCCCCTGGAGAGCCACCTGTCTTCAAGGCGTGCTACGTGGCCAGAGGCTTCAGCCAGCGTGAGGGTGTTGACTTCTTCTAGACCTTCGCCCCGACCCCGAAGATGACTACTCTTCGGGCGCTGCTACACGTAGCAGCACAGCGCGACTACGAGCTTCACTCCCTCGACTTCTCTACTGCCTTTCTTCAGGGCAGCCTACACGAGCAGGTCTACCTGCGCCGACCACAGGGCTTTACTGGTACCTTCCCCCCTGGGACGCAGGGGCTTCTCAGGCGCCCGGTCTACAGCCTGCGCCAGGCTCCCCGCAAGTGGCATGACACGCTGCGTGCCACGCTAACAGACCTGCGGTTCTTTCCGTCCTCTGCTGACCCCTCGTTGTTTGTGCGTTCCGGCTAGACTCCGTTCTACATCCTTGTCTACGTAGACGACCTGGTCTTCGCTACTGTTGACAGGGACGCACTGGCCTCTGTGAAGGCCAAGCTGCTGAAGAAACACACCTGCACTGACCTTGGAGAGCTGCATCGCTATCTTGGCCTGCAGATCTCTAGGGACAGAGCAGCACGCACCATCACTCTGACACAGTCACACTTGGTGCGTCAGGTCCTTCAGAGGTTCGGTCTTCGGTTCTCCTCCGCACAGCCCACACCTCTATCTATAGACCATGGGCTCTCCGCTCCCGTTCGTGAGGAGCCAGTGGAGCCCAGTGGCCCCTACGCAGAGCTGGTGGGTTGCCTCATGTACCTGATGACTTGCACTCGCCCTGATCTCGCATACCCTCTCAGCATCCTGGCTCGCTTTGTGGCTACACGCAGACACCGACCTCAGCACTGGTCTGCCACTAAGAGGGTTTTGCGTTCTCTTGCTAGTACATCGGGCATGGGGTTAGTGCTAGGAGGACGCAGGCCAGTGGTCCTTACTGGGCACACAGACGCTTCTTGGGCAGACGACTCTGAGACGCTCAGGTCGTCGCAGGGCTACTGTTTTAGCCTTGGCTCGGGTGCTATCTCTTGGAGATCCACTCGCTCGTCGTCTGTTGCTCCGTCTAGCTGTGAGGCTGAGATCTACGCCGGTGCCATGGCGGCACCGGAGCTCCGCTGGCTGATCTTCTTGCTCACAGACTTAAGTGAGCGGCCTAGCTCTGCCCCGGTCCTGTACGCTGACAACAGGGCCATGATTCTCCTGTGTCAGGAGCCTCGGCTTGAGGGAAGAGCGTAGCATATCCAGCTGCGGTACTTCCTCTTGCGCGAGCTACAGCAGCGTCGCCAGGCCCGCGTAGCTCCCTTAGCCTCAGGTGCCAACACAGCTCATATCTTTACTAAGGCGCTTGCGCCTAAAGATCATCAGCGGCACTGTGTACAGCTTGGTCTTGTTCCTGTAGCTACTCACCTGTTAGGACCCTGATTGTGTACTCTCTATCATATATACCTGTCTGACTGGCTTTGTGGCCTTACCTCCAGTGGCGGGACTAGTCGTGCCGTCCTGGCTTGCTTTAATCTTGCTTGTACTCTTGCTGACTGGTCTCAGGACCCTTACCTCAGTGGTTGGACTAGTAGTGCCACCCTGAGATGTGTGCTTCTTGCTTAGCACCACCCCTTCTCTAGCCTAAGGGGTGTGTCAACTTATACATATGCTATATATGGAAGTTATAGGCTGGCCTAGGTGTGTGCTTCTATTGAGTACAACCCCAACAGGTACATGTTCTAGGTTTCTCACACTAGTCCATTCACTCTCTTTCTAACATTGCAGTACCCTGATTCCCAAGGGTGCCTCTACACCAATTTGGGGCCCTGGTCACGAAGCCTGTGACCATCTGGCAGCAATGGGTATACAAGTGGCGCAACACAAATCGAGGATGTACCAGCCCACTAGAGCCTCTGCCTTCTTCTGCCCGGTCATGCACAACCTCCATTCGGGTAGAAACGAACTACCATAGCAGCACATAGCAGCAGCTGAGAGGGCTGCTCCCCATCCCGTCCTCACCATCACCATTCCACCACTCCTCTGCCCTCCTACCCTCCTCCCCAGCTCCCACCCCCCACCTGCTCATCTCTTAATTGGCTGCACAGCTAGCGTTGACCTGACAGAGTGCCCCAGCTCGTCTGTCCATGTGATGCTGCCGTATGAGAAAGTTAGCCCCGATCGCAGAGCAGTCAGAGTAACATTGTAACTCACTGTTGCCCCAGGCTCTACAGTAAACTTGGGTGGTTTTACTGTAACCAGGACCCCGTCCATACTAGTGACGGCCGCTGTATATGTTGATGCTGTGTAAGCCACATTTGTAACGCGCCGAGAAACGGTTACTGTACCAGAAAGCCTTCCTACAGAGATTGTAGGCCTATTGAGGTTATACGCCTTGATGGACTTCAAGCTGGCTCCGCGGAACAATCTCTTCGCTCGCGTCAGTGCCTGCCCGGCGAGAAAATTCCGGAAATCCGCCTCGTTGGCATCATACGTCAGCCCGGGATCTAGAAGCTTCATCGGATTCACGTGGCCCGCGCCTGTCTCCCACGGCGTCGCAACATTCCCGTTCGAATTTCGGATCAGCGAGCCCTTGTTATTCCGCACTGTAGCAGTTGTCATCATTGCGGATCCAATCTGGGAGGGGCTCCACTCGGGGTTTCGCTGCACGAGCAGCGCAGCAATCCCCGCGATGTGAGGTGTGGCCATGGAAGTTCCCGAGAGGCGGGCGTACCGACTGGTGGTGTCGGTCAGGGAAGGCGACACAGTAGCCGCCCAGAGGGAAACCCCCGGGGCGATGATGTCGGGCTTGAGGATGTCGTTGGTGGGCTTGGGGGCGGCGGGGTTGTAGATGGGGGCGACGAGAGGGCCCGTGGAGGAGAAGCCTGCCACCACGGGTGCTTCGGAGGGCGACCCTGATGATTCTGATGGGCGCACTGCCGTGGCCGAGGGGTCAGCGTGGATGGAGTCGGGGGTAGTGGATGCGGCGGAGGAGGAGTTGGAGGTTTCTTGAAGGCCCCTTGGGAGGGAAGGTGATGATGATGATACTGACGCTGGCGTCAATGTTGAGAATCGGCTGATGGTGCTGTTGGGAAAGAAATTGAGTAGGCGCATGGAGGGGGGGAGGGAAGGCAAACAAAAGGAAGGATGTGAAAAAAGCAAGAATATGAGGAAGAATGCTTGACAGCTGACCCAAACTAAGCCGCGGGTGGCAGGTAACCGTTGGGAAAATGGTCGAAGAGTGAATTCACACAGCAGAGATGTGCAGGGGTGGAGGTGAGCTGACCTGGCGCCCACGGTGATGTACCACGGTGAGAAGTTATCCAGTGTGCGGTACCCCATGCCCACTCTCCACGGACTGGCGGCGTTGCCTGCTGCAAAGGCCACCACCACCCCCGCCTGCATGGAGAGAAGGGATGGGGAGAGAGACAGAGGGATGGAGGGTGTGGGGTGGGAGAGGGAGAGTGGGAAAGGTGTGGGTGAGCGGGAGTGTGTGGAGAAGCTCCATTGGTACAAGCGGAGAGCGCACGTGGGAGAAAGAAATAAGCACCAGCACCCGTCCCAGCACCCATCACACCAGCCGTCTCAGCGCCCGTGCCACGCACCGTGTTGACATTGATGAAGCTGGAGTCGTCAAAGTACGTCGCGGAGTCGTCCGACCCACCCAGCGACAGGCTCAGCACGTCCACGCCGTCCGCCACGGCGCGGTTCACGGCAGCGAAGATGTCCGCGTACGTGGCGTACATGTACCCACCGCGCTCCTTCCAAAACACCTTGTACATCGCCAAGCGCGCGCGCGGCGCTATGCCGCTGATCGGGCCCAGCGTCTGCGTCTGCACGTTGCCGTTCCCTGCCGCTGCACTGGGAGGGGGGAACGGGTGGGTGGGGGGGCGGGGAGACCGTAGGGGGAGGCAGGGGAGGCGGTGAGGGGAGAGAGCAGAGCAGAGGTGGGGAAACAGGGAAGTGGGAAGAGGGGGTGGACGCAGGGATATGCGAGGGCCAACACTGCCGCGGTCAAGCCTTATCCACTCCATACCTCCCATCCACCCCTCCGCCCACTACTCCTACTCCCCCCTCTCTCCTACCCCCCGTTTCCCGCAAGCATCCCGCTCAGCACGAATCCCACTCAGCCCGCACCCCAAACTCCAGGTGCCGTGGCCGTCGCCATCCCCTCATGCACGCCTCCTCCCCCTCCCCCTCCCCCTCCCCCTCCCCCTCACGTACCCCGAGCACCAGGTGCCGTGGCCGTCGGCGTCGCGCGGCGAGAGCCAGTCCTTGGAGAAGTCCATGCGGTCGCGCGAGTCGCGCTTAAAGCCCGAGTAGAACACCTGCGCGCCCACCACCTTGCCGTTGCACGCCGCCGCGGGGAAGTCCTTGGTCTTCATGCACGACCCCTGCCACCCCGCCGGCGCCGGGCCGTAGCTGGAGGAAGCGGAGGAAGTCTGTTTAAAGCGGGGGGAGGGCGCGGGGGAGGGGACGGGAAGGGGGGGGCGAGGGCGTGGGGGAGGGATGAGGGGGAGGAGGGTGTGTGAGTTGATGTCTGATTAGAAAGGGTGGCATGAGGAGGTGTTCGAACGAGCGCGGGTGAGCGAGAAGGGAAACGAGAGGTGGAGGGGGGGAAGGGGGTGGAGCGGGGGACGGGGGGGGGGGTGAAGAAGGGGGTGAAGAAGGGGTGAAGGGGGTGAAGGGGGTGAAGGGGGGTGAAGGGGGTGAAGGGGGTGAAGGGGGTGAAGGGGGTGAAGGGGGTGAAGGGGGTGAAGGGGGTGAAGGGGGTGAAGGGGGTGAAGGGGGTGAAGGGGTGAAGGGGGTGAAGGGGGTGAAGGGGGTGAAGGGGGTGAAGGGGGTGAAGGGGGTGAAGGGGGTGAAGGGGGTGAAGGGGGTGAAGGGGGTGAAGGGGGTGAAGGGGGTGAAGGGGGTGAAGGGGTGAAGGGGGTGAAGGGGGTGAAGGGGGTGAAGGGGGTGAAGGGGGTGAAGGGGGTGAAGGGGGTGAAGGGGGTGAAGGGGGTGAAGGGGGTGAAGGGGGTGAAGGGGGTGAAGGGGGTGAAGGGGTGAGGGGGTGAAGGGGGTGAAGGGGTGAAGGGGGTGAAGGGGGTGAAGGGGGTGAAGGGGGTGAAGGGGGTGAAGGGGGTGAAGGGGGTGAAGGGGGTGAAGGGGGTGAAGGGGGGGGGGTGAAGGGGGTGAAGGGGGTGAAGGGGGTGAAGGGGGTGAAGGGGGTGAAGGGGGGTGAAGGGGGTGAAGGGGTGAAGGGGGTGAAGGGGGTGAAGGGGGTGAAGGGGGTGAAGGGGGTGAAGGGGGTGAAGGGGGTGAAGGGGGTGAAGGGGGTGAAGGGGGTGAAGGGGGTGAAGGGGGTGAAGGGGGTGAAGGGGGTGAAGGGGGTGAAGGGGGTGAAGGGGGTGAAGGGGGTGAAGGGGGTGAAGGGGGGGAAGGGGGTGAAGGGGGTGAAGGGGGTGAAGGGGTGAAGGGGGTGAAGGGGATGAAGGGGGTGAAGGGGGTGAAGGGGGTGAAGGGGATGAAGGGGGGGAGGAGATGAGATGAAGGGAGGATGGTGAGAGGCAGCAGTAGCAGCAGCAGAAACAGCGGCGTGCGTGCGAGCGTACGTCGTTGGCGAAGGATTTGTGTTCGGGCCAGATGCCGGTGTCGACGATCCCCACCACCACGTCCTCCCCGGCGCTGCTCTGCCCGCCCGCGGCGGCCCACAGCGACGGCGGCAGCTGCAGGAACGCGGGCGACGCGGTGGTCAGCAGGCGGAAGCGCCCGCTGCGCGTCACGCTGCCCACGGCGGGATGCCGCCGCATCCGCCACACCTCGCGCGCCGTCAGCTCCGCCGCGAACCCGTTCGCCACGTGCGTGTAGCTGTAGAGATAACGCGCGAGAGAGGCGCGAGGGAGAGTGAGTGAGTGAGCGAGTGAGTGAGAGAGTGAGAGAGACAGAGACAGAGAGGGAGAGGGAGAGGGAGAGGGGGAAAGAGAGAGAGCGAGCGAGCGAGAGAGAGAGAGAGAGAGAGAGAGAGAGAGAGAGAGAGAGAGAGAGAGAGAGAGAGAGAGAGGGGGGGGGGGGGGGGGGGCGGGGGGGTGGGGGAAGAGAGGAGAGGGGGAGGGGAAGTGAAGAGGCATGAAGTGCGCACAGGGACGGATAACATCTTCTTGTGGGGCCCTTGCACCCGTCACACACCTGTACATTAGGCGGCTCGCAGCAATCCCCGTATCGCGCGCCACCCTCCGCTGCTGCTGCCTAAGCATCTCCGCAAACGCGCGCACGTGCGGCATCCTCAAGTTCACCCGCGGCCGGCGCGGAAACAGGCGGCCGGCGGCAGTGGCGGCGGCATTGGCGGCGTGAGATGCGGCGTGGCGGACGGCGGCAGTGCCGGGGAATCCGGGAATCCCGCCGTTATAAACGGCGACGGCCGGCGCGGAGCGCAACTGAATCACGTAGAGGGAAGAAACCGCTGGTGCACGGTTGGGGACTGGCGGCGGGCGGCGGGGATAGCGAAGGGGTATGGAGGGGTAGGGAAGGCACAGTGGGGGAGGAGAAGGGACGGGGAAGGGGAAGGGAGGAAGGAAACCGTTAGGGCGCGGAAGGAGGGACAACGCAATGCGACATGCGAATTGACGTGGGAGGGACATGATGGGAGCTCGCCCAAGTTAAGAACAGCTGCGGCAATACGGCGAGGCACTCTCGCAGACGACCCTTGAGATAAACTCCCAGTCCGCCCTAGTTCGGTTCGGATGAGTTCGGATCGGCGAGCCAGCAGTGTGAATCGCAGAGGCGAGCCGTGGGAGTCGCGTGCGGATCGCAAAGGCTCGCAAGTGCTCGCGGAACTTGAGAGCATCGCCCGAGAGCCGTCGCACGCGCGACGTGTATGCGTTACCTTGGAGGGAGAGGGCGAGGGTGATTGAGGAGACCAGGAGAGCCACCACGGGCAGCATCGCGCGACGCCACGGTGATCGAACCGCCATGGCTGCGGTGACGCGCCAGTTGGCGAAGGGAAGTCGGGAATTTACCGGCAGGTCGCGGCATTCACGGCGTGCAGTGCGGCACTAGCGTTATAAGTGACGAGAATTAAAGACGACTCGTTCGGTGAAAAGAGTGGCTCGAGCGGTGGATGGAAGAAAGTGAAATTAGGAGGGCAACCAGAGAACCCAAAACGCGTGATGATGGGGAGCTAAGCTTGAAGTCAAAGATTGGATGACGCGGGATTGACAGGCAGCCACTTGCAAGCTGAATGGAAGGGAGGCAGTGTCAAGCAGCCCAAAGTTGGGACTGCTTGTGTGGAATGACGATGACGATGGGTGTGCAATGCTAGGCTGCAAGGATAAAGAACTAACGGTGGTGATTTGACGTAAGGCAAGGAAACAGAACACACACAAGCATGAAGCGGATACAGTTTGGTACGGTACAGTAAACTGCCAAACGCCCACAACTCACCCATCCACCCACCTGGGCTTACCTTAGGGTTTTCGTCCACACGGCAGATCCGGGTATCTCTCTCGCGGGACCCGGATAAACGGGTACTTGTGAAACGTTGCCCGTCGATGTCTGGGGTTCAGTCCCTGGATTTTTTCCGTGATGACAAACGCTCTTACGAAAAGTTCCTGGATTCTACGAAGGGAACCACGTAAGAGCACTCCGCTCAGCTCTTATCATTCCACCTATGGAACTTCCTTGCTATGGCTGATTTGCCCAGGGGAGAGGGAATGGTGAGGCAATCGGTGGGGTGGCGTGAGTAGCTCTAGTATCCGTGTTTGAACGTCACTTTACGTGTTCTGGTCGAAATGTACCCGTCAGAATCCGGGTTTACAAAGATCGCAATCCGATTTAGGTAACAACCTCACCCGCTATCTGGTCAAAATTCGGGTACTTCTCCGTAAAAACTAGGGTTTTTAGGTTAGCGGTAACCCTTACTGGAGTTATACTCTTACGAGTAACATTTAGCCCTTTCACGGAAGGGTTTCTCATTGTTCCAACCCTCCCGGGCCAGTTTTTTTATCTTTGAGGTTAGTTCGCACCACAGAAAACCACGCGTCACAATCTCCTTGCTCCGTCACTTTGGGGCTACTGAACTCTGTTTTCCTGCGATATTGTGGGATCTGTAGTGCTACTGAAAATGGCTGACAACATTCGGGCAGGCTAGCTGGCAAGAAAAAAACTAAAACTCATAGGGGCGAGTATGCCATTCTGGTGGGCATCAACCCTAAATTCGTGGCCCTTTTGCGAGTTTAGGGTTGATGCCATCCAGAATGCCATGCCAGGCCCGTAAGGGTTCTATTGTTTCTGCCCTCTGCCCAAGATTAAGGAGATTGCTACACGTGGTTCGCTGTGGAGAGAACTAACCTCGAAGAACAAAAAACTGTGCCTGGGGGGTTTGATCGGCGAGAAATCCTTCCGTAATAGGGGCTAAACGTGATCCCAAAGAGTAAAACGCTAGTAAGGGTTACCGGTAATCTAAAAACCCTAAAAACTATGCCCTCCCAACCACCACTGGGATCAACTCTCAATGCTCTGCTCGCCTTTCCTTCCTACCCTGGGCGCAGTGTAATTGGTCAAGGGTAGAGAGGGAGAAGCAGTTGTGGAGCGGTCGTTTTTTGAAGTAACTTTTTGGAATTTGGCATTAGATCGGGTACAATTACGGCCGTTTCTGGATTATGCGGGCTGCGAGTGACGGGCAAAGCATGTACTGTACTTGAATGTCACTGATCTCCTCCGGGCGGAATCAGAGATTTGAATTGATTGTCTGCATCCAATAATCCACATTTTCACATCACTATGAACGGCCGCACTCAGAGAAAATTGGCACAGCAACATGGGTGGGATGTTTTCGCGAGAGCTGCCAAATAGGCAACTATCCGCTGGGTGGGGTGTAGTTTGAAGGACAACTTCCGACTGGGTGTTGAGAGCCCTAAACCCGCCTAACGCTGTGTTTGAAGGCTACCTTCTGACTGAACTTGAAATGCTAACGGGTAGCTCTAGCCAGACACCAGTGCCCCAGAATCCAAACGCAGCCCAGCACAGAGGCTGGCGGTGGCGTGGCGAGTGGGCTTGGGGGAGGTGGTTGTGGCGAAAGTGTACAGCACAAATACTGTGTATCGTGGTATGTCCGTTTTAATGACGCTGCGGTTTCCAACGCACGGGAAGACACCCAAACGTTTTTTATGTAGTCCCTCCAAACGCCTTGTGCAAGCATAGCTGCTGGCTGCAAATTGTGACGGCCAGGGCGGCTGTTGAGAAGCGGAATTGGTTTTCTAGTTGCGAGCGGATATGTACAGTTTCCAGGAAACGCCAGCGGTTTTCGCAGTTCGCCACGTCCACCGTTGACATTTTCAAAACATGTTCCACTTCAGGAAACTGTGGTTGTTGCTGAGTGGAGCATGACACTCATGACCATGACGAGAACGCTTGCAGTGGTCGGTGAGGGGGACCGGCCATGGCAGATGTGGTGTGGTTTGGTGTGTTGTGGTATGGTTTCGTGTGGTCCTGCGGGTATGGGATGGAGCAACCCTGGATGATGCCACATCACCAACCAGAAACTGCATTGCACTTCTGCAGTGCCACATGCATGTGCTGTAGCCAGGCGAAAACCAAGGGTGGATGTGCAGTGATGCGGAGCGGAGCCATCACGAATCGCCCCTCCCCCCCAGGAAGAATTACAGCGGAAGGCATTCTAGGTTGCATGCTGCAAACGCGGCTTGTGTGGGTTTCGAGTCTTACTATTTTGGCCTCTAACACCTTACTACACTTCTAAAAGGCTAACGCACCTCTAAACGTCTGATATTTATAATTTATTACTTAGACGGTCCATGACGTGGTAGGCAGGGCTGACGTTTCAAAAAAACCCACTCTGATTTTGGCCCCAAAAAAATTTCTGAATTCTGAATAGCCAGGTTTCAGTTTCCATGGTAGTCTGATTTCTCAGGATCCAGTGACTCTCAAGTCTGACTTCTTCAGGGTTCGCAAGTATTAATCAGAGTCGTGATTTCACCATTTACTCGCCATTATTTTATAACATTCGGGCGTTTAGCCAACACCTAGTCTAATTTCCTAGCCTAGCTAGAACTCTGGCACATCCACAGCGACGACATCCTCCGCCTCATCATCCGACAAAAAGGGGTTGTCTTCTATAGCTACTGTACGTCCACCATCCCTCTCCCCCTCCTCCTCCTCCTCATCCCAATCCTCTCCTAAGTAGTCTGGCACTGGGGAATCCTGCTCTGCCTCTTCTAGTAGAGCCTTGCCTTTGCGCTTCCTCTCTTGTGATGCGAACACCACCGACTTCGCTGGTCTTCTCTTATTTGTGTGCCACAGCTCCAACGCCTCCTGCCAGTTAATGTCGTATTTCAGCAGCGAAATCATCATCAGCTCACCCAGGCGGGCATTGCACAGAGCACCACGGACCCAACACTTGATCGTTGTGGTGGTTTGCATGATCGGGACCCAAGTTGCCAGGTCCTTCTCCGCCTCCTTCAAATCGAACCCGGGGAGCCTGTCGTCGAAGATAGCACTGCAGCCATGGAGATACTCCCTCGTCTTCTTCTCCCTCACCATCCGAAGCCGCGGCCACTTGCCCGCCCGAAACAGCTTCGTCGGCCCGAGCTTCGACAGGTTGTCCTTCCGCTCCTGCAGGTTCGTCAAGCTCCCCCTCGCGAACTTCGCGTACAACAGTTCGCAGTCCCGGTAGTTGCTCTGGTAGACGTGCCCCTTGATCTGCCGCTCGTGCATCTGGTACGTGTGCGTCACCGGCTGCCCGTCCTTGTCGACACCGCGCACCTTCACTCTCTTCGCCCCCCCTCGCTCGTACACGGTTAAGAAAGCCGACAGCCACGCGCCGCTTACGCCCACACCGAAAACCCCGCCGCACTCTAAGTAGCGGTGCCGAAGATCCCCTACCGCCTCGTCGACGTCCTGTGTTATCTCGGTGACCTCCACCTGCGGTCGGGCGGGGAGGGGAGGTGGGGTGGTGGAAACATGGGGGCGCAAATCAAGGGGCTGAATGTTAGTGCTGATTGTGAAAGAACATACCACAAGCTCACATGCAAGGGATCACCTCTCGCTTCTGAAACTTGACGTTGAGCTCGTTCATGATGGCGAGGACGTCCGCCAGGAAGAAGAGACAAAACGGAAACTTGTATGAGATGACAACCTCGTACAACTCATGGTTATACTCATACAATAAAACGATGGCAGCACCGAGGACCTTACAGAGGCGTCTGACAGCCTCGTCCCTGGACAGCCACCGAATCGCGTGGATTCCTTGAACTTCAAGGTTGGTCTTGTGGATGACACGCTGCAGGTACTTGAACCGCTGGCTCTACACGCTTGAACGGCCGAGGAGATCGGCCAGAGTTCGGATAACCTTGTCGACCATGTCCAAGTCTGGGCAGGCAGACGCGGCGTCCTTCACAGCCAGAGCTTCCCTGCGCACAATCCATAGAAACACACTAGTAAACGATTAAAAACAAAGTGAGAACATAACATAATGAGTCTATACCGGTGGGCGATGCAGTGGGACGACACAAGGTGAGGGATGTGCTCGCGGAGCCATGCCACGAGACCATTCTCGCGCCCAACCATAACAGAAGCGCCATCGGTGCTGATTCCCGCGATGCAGTTGAGTTCGATGCTAGCGCCTTGAAGATGAGTGAGGAGCACGGAGAGCAGGGAGGCGGCATCGCACTTCTCGACGGTGAGCAACGAGAAAATTTCGGTGACGACGCGGCGATGGCGTAGGAACGCAAGGTACACTATCAGGTGCTTCCCTCTGGTACTATCAGTGCTCTCGTCACAACTGATGCCGATGAACGGGGACGAATGAATGTGCTGCATCTGGATCCGTTGAAGAAGAGTCGCCAGGCAGTGGACCATCTGTTGAAAGCCGTACCTGCACGCAGAAGAGAGAGTAATTGTTAAAATAATCCAACGGCGCAGAGTAATGGAATGTACTCGCGGGTACTTACCGAGTGAGGTAAACACCGTAAGACTCGAGCAGTAGGTCCGGGGTGTCCTGCTCAGCCATAAAGCGACATAGCCGAGGAAACATGCTGATGGGAGCATCGACCTTACAGAGAAACTCAACAGCGCGGAGCAGTCGCACGACCCACCTCCCCTCGACATCCGACGACAAGTAGTCGTCAATCCTCTTCTGCCCGTCGGCGATGTCGTCGGCAATCTTCAGCTGGGCCTCCACAGCTTCCTTGTGTGCAGAGGAGTGTTCGTGTATGCGCATGGTCTGTGTCTGCAGGTCTCGGCCACCATCGCCCGAAGAGCTGTACTTAGTGGTCTCCTTACCAAACGGCATGCAGACACTGCACTTGAGAGCAGGGTAACCGTCCTTTGTTTTGGTTAGTAGTAGCCATGGAAAGAAATGCAGCCATGAAGTTTTGTACTTTGCTTCAGCGACGAGGTATTTCTGCTCAATCAATTCCTTCTTACTCAGCTTTGGCGGAGGCGGTTCAACGACGACAGGGACTGCACTAGGTGATGGCGGCGTGGACGGGCGGCGGAGCCTACCTCCGATCATGATTTGAGACTGGGTGTACTTGCCCGTCCGCTGTTTCTTCGCAGACGAAATCGTGGACGTGCAGGGCACGCTGTAGCGGACTGTGGTGGCGGTGACGCAGTTAACGGGCAGAGTCGGGCCTCTGCTGGATGAGGCGATGGCAGGCGGAGGGACATATGGTGGTGGCACGAAAGGCGCGGATGGAGGTGGGTTTAGAGCAGGCTGGGTTTCCAACGCTGCGAAGGAAACCACAACAGCAACGACGGGAGGAGAACCTAACGACCGCAGTATATCTATCGCGGAGCGACGAACCTCTGCAGGCTCGTTACTATGAGGTGGTTCATCGGCGCTGGGCTCATCATCTTCTTCTGCAGGAGTCCCCGTCATGGCTGTTGACGGGGTCGACAAACGAGAACCTACGTGAGGCGGACAACTCCGAAATACGAATTGAGGAGTAAGAGTTACAGACCCCGTGTAAAAGCCTGAGTGCGCCTGAGAGGAGGGGGAGGGATGAGAGGGACGAAGAAGAAGGGCACCATCAAGCCTGAGACGAGTGCTTCTTGGTTAACCCTCGTCGTCAGCTTCTGGATGGCAGCCCCTTCCAAACCCGCGCCGCCATGCCAAACATGAGCTGACGTTACGAATGAACCATGTGTTGGCATGGACTGTCGCCAATCACGGTCGGTCGAACAGTTTTGCACATGCCAGCGAGGGCAAGTTTCCCGCGTTACAAGCCTTAAATGGCTTCCAACACACCCACGTAGAGGTGCTTAGCAGGCACGCCTGGCAGGATGCATGACGCGCTGAGCGGCAAAGTTCCTGTTGAGACAGCATCACAGTCACGGAAGGAGCGGGAATCAGCATCAATGATGAAGGGTTGGATAGCAATTGATGCCCATGCCTTGCTCGTAGTCGTTAGAGCTCGTGGTGTGAGGATCGGCTGCTCGGTAGTAGAGAAATGTTTGCAGCGTGGTACTGAGCTCGCTTGCTGCTATGGCAAGCCAAGCAAGTAGTGAGAGTATGAAATATGAAGGGAGTTGAAGAATTGCCAGAAGGCTTGTCGAGAGTAGTTGTAGCGTCGAAGAAATTTTCAGGTGCGAGTTGCAGAATTTCCTCGTATTCTTGACTAATATCTTCCTTGATATTAACCGCAGATGTGTCGTCAAGGATGTCGGTCGTCAAGGATGTCGGTGATGCTGCTAATTGGATTTTCTTCTTCGATGCTGCTGAAGTCCATTGGTGGAGTGGTTACCAAAGCTATTGCTGCGATGATGGATGGAGCTTGAAGAGGAGTGGCATCTTCAGAAGGTTTTGCTGCCTTGAAGCGTAAAACGAATACGCCATTTTTTGTTGCTGCTCTTCCGATGTACGTGTTGTCCATATCATGTATTAACTCATGCTTTTGTGTCGTGCCGTTTCCGACCGTGCGGATTTTCTTCTTCAAGAGTTGGTTAGTTGACACTAAATTGAATCTGAGGTTGTCGACGAGTAAGGCGTAAAGAGTTTCCTGTATCGATTGATGCCAAAAGTATACTGCCGATATTATCTGCTGCAATTGTTTGACCGTTGGCGAGTGTGAATGGGCAGGGTTGACGAAGTCGACGACGGTTCTAGATGAAAGGATTTTTTTAAGAGACCATGTGGTGGCCACAACAATCCAAGTACCAAGTATCGGTATCTGTACTACAACCAGCAATGTTAGTGTTCCCAGTAGGTAAGTAAAACTTTGAGGTTACCGTTTTGTTGGCAGAGTTTGAATTATTTGTTGCCGGCTTCGAAAAGTTAATTGGAGGAACACAGTTGAGTGACGTTGGTGTTGTTGATGTTGCAGATGTTGCTTTTAAAGGCGCATGTTGCTGAAAAGACTGCTTCGAAGGCTGACGTACAGTGACAGAATTTTTTGGCCTGGTAGTTGTGGTGTTTGATGATAAAAGCGTGTTACGCTATTTATACTGTATGTTACTAGTACTCATGGGCCACACACATTATGCCTTAGAGTGTTAGGGTTCAAACACAAATATCTCTTATAAGTAATATCGAGTTTACACAAGCGTGTACACAATTTTAGGTAACTCACTCGATACGGACAATTACCTCCCACCGAGAGCCTAGATCGACTTCATTGTTGCATTTCACACTCGAACTAGGTTACGCAAGTAAAACTTCGCGATACCCTTCCTGAAATCTTCGCCAAGCTCCCTGCCACGATGCGCCCGATAAAAACGCGTATTAAGGACCGAATCTTAACCCTGCTTCATCAGGGTCGTAGTTTTCGTCAGATTGCGAGCATGCTAGGGATAGGGAAAACTGCAGTTCAGAAATATGCGGAACAGGCATCCCAGCGCACCAGCCGCCTAGCAGTACGACCAATGGTACCTCGATCAGGCCGCCCTCGTTTGCTTTCGGTGCGTGACCGACGATGTCTTGTGCGTTCCGTGACTTCAAGGGCTGTCAAAACGAGTGTAGAGGCCGCAAAACAGTTAGAGTTAGTTCAGGGCATTAAGGTCTGCCCGCGCACAGTACGAAATGCCCTGAAGCTGTCAGGGCTTGTCGCTGTACAGCAACCGAGGAAGCCACGTCTTTCGGCACGTAACATCCAAGATCGCTTGGAATTCGCCCGTGCACACCTAGACTGGACAATCTAGGACTGGAAGCGGGTGATCTGGTCAGATGAGACCAAGATCAACCGCTTTTGCAGCGATGGCCGCAGCTTCGCTTAGATCCGCGATGGCGCGGCTCTTCAAACGCATCAGGTGAAGCAGTGTGTGAAGCATGGGGGCGGGTCCATAATGATATGGGGATGTATGATCTACGATGGCCCTGGTTTTATGTGTAAGATCGAAGGGCGCATGGATGGGCAGCTGTACCATGCCATCTTGCAGGATGAGCTTGCTCTGACTATCGATTTTTACTCTCTAACCGCCAACGATGTTATTTTCCAGCAAGGTAACGACCCTAAGCACAAGAGTAGGCTTGTGCATGAGTTCATTTCTGAGCAGGAATACTCAGTCCTGCAGTGGCCTTCCTCCTCCCCAGACCTAAATCCCATCGAACACCTATGGTCTCACCTCAAACGTGAGCTTGCCAAGTATGAGCATCCCCCCTCAGGCATGCTCCAAACTTGGGAGTGAGTGCGGGGAACGTGGGAGAGCATTCGAGCAGAAGTTTGTAGGGGATTGATAGATAGTATGCCTAGGAGGGTGAAGGCCGTTGTTAGGGCAAAGGGAAGATGGACTAGGTACTGATTATGGACAATGTTATGCCTTCTTTGAAATGGGAACTATCTGTCCTAATGTACATCCATGTATCTAATGCTATGAACTTTGGCATAACAAAACCAAATATGGCTAGTGTTGGCATTTTACGTGTGCTGTTGCCTTTGTCTACCAGGCCATTAAAGCCTGTCACATTGTAAACTTCCCAATAATCAGCAACACACAATTTTCCACAAAATTGTCCAACATGTGGACAATTCCTTCCGTCACTGTAGCTGCTGTGATGATTTCGACCTCTGCGATTCTTCATGAGGTAAATACCTCTTCTTAAAGTAGCATCGGTCGGTAGAATATCCTCCATTGTTGCAATTGTAACAGAAGTATTGAGGACGTCGAGGTGGTGTTGAATAGAAACGGAGTTGTATATCCCTCATTTTGTTGCGTTGTGACTGCAGGTCAAGATCTTGTTGTTCCGCTTGAAGATATGATGAAATCTCAGCTTCGGAGAGGGTCGGGTTCATACGTAGGAAGGCGCACGTCTGTCGCCATTCGGGTCCAAGGTCAGCAAGAAGGACGGTGAGATACATCTCACGAGGGAAGTATCCCCCACTCTTTTCCAGTTGATCTCGTAGTGTACGGATGCGGTTGATGTAGTCCATGACATTTTCGTTTGTCATCATCTGCACATTTGAAAGTATTTTACTCACAGTTATTGTATCTTTTGCCATGTATACCCCCTTCAAATGGCTCCATGAAGTTTCAGCTGGTGTAAAACTTGAATGAAACGATCGGACGCCGAGCTGCTCCTTTGGCGACAAGTTCAGAACAAGAACTGTAAGAAAATTTGCTGCTCCAATTGTGTTCCCGTAACAGGATACGTGAACTCGCCTGTGAAGAACGGCCATAGCCCGGCGGACTGCGCCAGAAGTTCAAACTCGAAACTCCAGGAGTAAAAATCCACTCCGTTAAAATGAATGGTTGTCTTCATCTGTGTACTGTTAAGCAAATTTGGCGGTTGAAAAATAATACCCGATTGTTGAGGCTGTTGCTGTTGCTGCTGTTGTTGTTGCTGAAACTGTTGTGGCTGTTGATGCTGTTGTTGTTGTTGCTGTTGCTGAGTAGGGGGACGCCCGAAGATGTAAAAGGGATTCTGCTGCTGCTGTGACTGCGACTGCTGCGCAAAAGGTGAGAAAGCAAACAAACCAGTACTTGGAGTTGAAGCTCCACGCATACAACTCGAGCCGTCAAGGCTCATTCCACTGAACGCCGAAGATATAGATTGAGTTGAAAACGGTGGTTGTGCTGATGCCTGTTGCTGTACTGATGCATGCTGTTGTGCTGTTGTCTGTGTTTGTTGGTGTTGTGCTGCAGGGGCAGTTGATGACATCCGTGGAGTACTGACAGAAGATGGATTCTGCTGCTGCTGCTGGTGCATACCGATATGAACATAAGCCGGTGGAAACGGTCCAGAGGCTGAGAGACCAGTGGCGGTCGTGGAGACATGTACTCCAGTAGTTCCGGAAGTTGATCCGGCAGACGGTGCTGGTGATGAACCAGTCATTGTTGACATTAGTCTTAATTCCAGACAGCTCTCATACCATGTAATAATTTGACAGGTGTTGCAAGAGACTAAGTATAGAATCTGCAACCACAAGTATTTAACCAATGATCTTTGCTGGAATGGGAGACTAGTAAGACAGCGGTAGTCTTATCAGAGTGAACCTGAGCACATGAACTTGTGGGTAGTCGAAGGTTGAATAACCTGAGCACATAATTCTGTGGAAAGTCAAGGTTAATAATAGAAAGGCATTACAAGGATTTATAGCTCTAGAGAAAGTACCTGTTCGGCTAGTTGCGCGCTATACGACCTATTCGTCATACTATAGGGTCGCGACATTCGCGTGACTGAAACGACTCGTTACGCCTATTTGCGTAACTGAAGCAGTACGCTGACGTCATCCCGAGACCCCTGATGCTTTGCTGACATCAGCACTCAGACCTGTTTCCTTACTGAGAAACTCGATACTGCTAACTACACTGAAACGGAACTTGCAGGAATGCAAAATTTCATTTATCACAACAAGGTGAAATCTGTTGTGATATAGTTCATAATGGGTAATCAAGTTCATTATTAACTTTGATTACCAACAATTTCATGAGCTCAGGTTGTTCAACCTTGATTATCATACTCTTACAAGACTTCTGCCGTCTTACTAGTCTACCATTCCAGCAAAGATCCTAGGCTAACACGTGAGGTTTTCCATGTGTTTGTGTTTGCAGACTCTACACATAGTTTCCTGCAACACCTGTCAAATTATTACATGGTATGAGAGCTGTCTGGAATCAAGACTACTGCCAAAATGACTAGAACAACACCAGCGCAATCTACCGGATCTGCTTTCGGAACTACTAGAGTACATCTCTCCACGACCGCCACTGGTCTCTCAGCCTCTGGACCGTTTCCACCGGCTTATGCGCACATCGGTAGGCAGCAGCAGCAGAATCCGCCTTCTGTCAGTACTCCAGGTATTTCATTGGCTGCACCTGCAGCGCAACAAGGACAAACACAGACAACAGCACAAAAACAGGCATCAGTACAACAACAGGCAACAGCACAACCACAGTTTTCGACTTAGTCAATATCGTCAGAGTTTAGTGGAATGAATCTTGATGACGGCACGGAGATGAAGCCGCAGTCTTGCCCGACGGTTTGCACCACGTGTCCGGTCGCCAACCTTACCCACGACCCGTTTCCAAGTCATTTTCCTGGCTCCACACGTTATAAACTGATGCAGAAAGTCTACAGCGATATTCTTAACTTACCTGAAGCAGGACCTAAAGAAGAGTAGTACGTGATAACCTTCATCGAAGCATCTTTTCGCTACATTTGGACAGCAAACCTTCCTGCTCGTTATCTCTCTCATTTTGTCTTCGTCGCACGGCTCGCTGTCACTGACCGAGAGTCTGGTGTGAAAATGCAAGAATTCCAGAGTGATGGCGCAGGGGAATACACGAGCAACACCTACACAGACTACCTCCAAACCCTCGGCATCAAACGAAAGCAATCACTGCCGTATGCATACCAACAGATGGGGGTAGCGGAAAGGATGAACTGAACTTTGAAGGAGAAGATGTGTGCTCTGGTGACTCACGCAGCCCTTCCGCTGCGTTTTTGGCTGTATGCGATGGACCACGCCGTGCTGTTACACAACCTGCTCTCTTCCACGTCACTTTCCGAGTTTGCTTCTCCGCACCTGCAGTGGACAAGAAGAGTGGGAAGTACCAAACTTTAACGAGTTTTTGGGAGTGTCGTGCAGTTTTGTCCTCCAACTGCTGCACTCGGAAAATTCTCAAAACAAGCAAAACGGGGGGTACACCTCGGCATCGAAAAACAGTATCACGCTTGGAAGATTTTGGATCTACGTTCCAACCAAATCGTCCCTTCACGTGATTGTCTATTCTATGAAAGACTCACCTTGCCCATTTTTCGTGCCCACCAGGCAGCAGCTGCCAACATCGCCAGGCTGTTCGAAGGCTCGCGTGCATTTGCAACTGACGGCGCCGAAGCTCATGTACAGGATGAAGCCGTTTTTGAAGCCTCCGAAGCTGCCGCAACAGCCATTCCCGAGCCTGCAACGTCGATAGGTATCCCGGAATTTATTCCTCTTGCAGATGCTGACCTGGATGATGTTCGCGAAGTCCACCTCATTTATGAACGCGATCGCCAACAACAGCCGATGCCAGCCGTCTCCGACGAAGCAGTTCGTGTTACACCTGATGAAATCGGGGGGGAAGAAGGAGCAGAAGAAAATTTCGCAGGTGCAAACGAAGAATGTCCGCGTTTTATAGAAACCGGCTTCCAGATTCTTGGATGCGCAGTCGCATTACAGTACAACGACAGTAAAATACCTGAACCGAAAACCATTTGCCAAGCTCTTACGAGCCCTCACCGCGAAAAATGGCGCGAAGCCATGGACAGGGAGCTAGCAGCTCTCAAGAGTCGTGGTACATGGGAGTTAATAGCGACATCAGAAGTGAAAGGAAGAAAGGTACTCACCGGAAAATGGGTCTTCCGTGTCAAGACTAATGCAGATGGGATGTTTGAAAAATTCAAGGCGCGATGGGTTGTCCGCGGATTCAAGCAGACTTACGGCATCGACTACGAGATGAATTTTGCTCCTGTTGGTCGACATAGAAGCGTTCGGATTTTACTCTGTGTCGCCGCCTGCCGTAATCTACGACTTCGACAAATCGACGTGGCAAACGCGTTTCTCTACGCACCCGTCGACGCACTTATACTGGTAGAGTACCCGCATTCCTATGCTACTAACCCACCGAGCGTATGCCGTCTCCAAAAATCGCTTTACGGCATTAAACATGCACCCCGACTATGGCAACAGTACCTACATTCACAGTTACTTACCGCTGGATTTCGTCAGCTACCGCATGACCAGGGAATGTATCTTCTAACCGACGGAAGCAACTATATTTTACTTGTCGCCTACGTCGACGACATTCTCTATGTCAGCACTACCGATTCACTCGCGAATACCTTCATACTGAAACTACAGGAAACTCTACAGCTTACCGTCTCCGAAACAATCTCACAGTTTCTCGGTCTCAACATTACCTGCTCACCGACGTCGATTCACCTCACCGCTTCGAAGTACGTAGCGATGCTCGTTGCCCGCTTCAACCTCACTCCTACTGCAGTTTCTACACCGTACCGTTCTCTACCGACTGACTACAAACCAAATACTGCACCGTTAAATCCAACTGGTTTACAGACCTATCAACATCAATTAGGCTGTTTACTCTTCGCCGCTGTAACTTGCCGTCCAGATCTGGCCTACGCAGCTAGTCAACTCGCACAGTTCCTACGCCGTCCTGAAGAAGAACACCAACCCGATCTTCTTCGCACTCTTCAGTATTTCGTCTCTACTCCTGACGTCGGTTCAGTCTACAACGTCGTCGGCTGTAAAACTCTATTCCTACATGGTTTCGTCGACGCCGACCACGCTGCTGATACCACTAATCGGCGCTCGCGTACTGGGTTCATCTATCGTCTTGAACCTATCGGGCCTATTTCTTGGAATTCGACGAAGCAGGAGCTGACTGCTCTCTCCTCTGCTGAAGCAGGAGCTGAGTGCTCTCTCTGTCAGCAGTAGCAAAGACCAGGTCATCTATGTAGACAAGGATGTAGAACGGAGTCTGGCTAGCACGAACGAAGAGCGAGGGGTCTGTAGAGGACGGAAAGAACTGCAGGTCAGCTAGTGTAGCACGCAGTGTATCGTGCCACTCATGGGGCGACTATTGTGAGAGTACGACCCCGTTCCATTCTTTTCTCCTTTCCATTTCATTCCACTTTTTATCTTGATTCATTTGGTCTTTCTCTCATTCCATTTGGATTCATATTTCTTCTTTTCCATAAACCTTTGGTTTATTCTGTCATTATCATTATATTATCAACCAGGCTAGGGATGTACTGGCACGCTATATCTAGCGTAATCCTGCCGTAATCCCTTAAAGCCAATAGCCTCGTGTGGCTGTACGCAGGGTGATACTATTTTCTAGAAGGGTCTATTCCCTTGGGATAGGATAAACCTGGTTACCTGATGTACTTTGGAAGTATAAAAGCACCTTGTATCAATCGATAGTGCAACCCTTCCTCGACACATTCGATCATGTGAAAACTATCGCAGGCCGTAGACCGGGCGCTGGAGGAGCCACTGGGTCTCTGGAGGGAAGGTACTGGTGAAGCTATGGAGTCGGCGCAGGTAGACCTGCTCGTGTAGGCTGCCCTGGAGAAACGCTATGGAGAAGTCAAAGGATTGTAACTCGTAGTCACGCTGTTCAGCTATGTATAGCAGAGCCCGAAGAGTAGTCATCTTCGGGGTCGGGGCCAAGGTCTGAAAGAAGTCCACCCCCTCTCGCTGACTGAAGCTTCTAGCCACGTAGCGCGCCTTGAACACAGGCGGCCCTCTAGGGGGGCGCTTCACATTGAAGAGCCACCGGCCATCGACTACGTTCACCCCGAGTGGGGGAACTGCGTCGATGTAGGTGCCAGTGGATCTCCAAGATGCCATCTCTTACTCCATGGCAGCTATCCACTGAGAGGCCCAGGGTCCTGAGGTCGCCTCAGCGTAAGTGCGAGGGGTCGGGATGTCAAAGGCGTCTGGGTCACCCTCAAGGACTAGCAGCATGCAACAGAGATGGGGAGCAGCCTCAGACAGGAAAGCAAACTAGTATTATGTCCTCTAGGACGTCACTGCCAAGGGTAGACGGAGGAGAGATAGGGAAAGAGACCAGAGCGGTGGCGTAGTCCAGGCGACGAGTAGAGGCGAAGTGAGCGACAGCGGCGACAAGAGCATCAAGACTGGAGACAGGGAGAGACGTGTCGGTAACAAGGGAGGCAAGGACCCGAGGTACAAGAGGACGAGCGGCACTAAGGTAGTCAAACAAAGGGGGAGGCGCGACAGCGAGCGATGACGGAGGAGGTGATGGCCGGAAGGGAGGACGAGACGCGTGGGAACGAAGCAACATAGGTTGGGAATGCTGAACATGAGAAGCAGGACCAGCATGAGAGGGACGGCGAGACTAGATGTGAGAGGGAGGCTTCGGATTAGGGGATAGAGGAGGAGATACATGAGGGGAACGAGGGGGAAGACGCGTCGGAGACGATTCCGGCGGAGGGAACACAGAGCCGTAGTCACGAAGAGGAGGAGGCAGCAGGGGAAGCGCAGGCGAGTGGTCAGGGGAGGAAAGGTTGAGAAGGCGAAGGGCGGAGACCGGCGGCGACTGCTGGTGCTGCTGTTCAACGCCGACACCAGAACCGCCAGCTGCACCACGGCTACCTCCGGAACGCTCCACTCTAGCATCCCCAGAACGAGAACTCTCTCCAGCACCAGTGCCACCCCCATGCCCACCGGGACAAGTCACGACAGGAACCCCAGGACTAGCACCCTCCTCAACGCTAGCACCCCTAGAATCCACTAACGTCTGCTGCTGCTGCGGCGGCGGTGGCTGTTGCGGCTGCGGCTGCTGCTGCGGCGGCGACTGCGACGACTGGTGCGACGGCAGAGGAGGAGACACCGAGGGGGAGGGACAGCACAGGGAGATCACGATGGAGGCGCACCGCTACGACCCACGGGATAAGAACGTTAGGCACGTCGGCCTTCCGCTCCAGGGGAAACACCGTAGTGTAGCTCGTGAAGTCGTCAACGAGCACAAGAAAGTAGCGCTCGCGACGCGGTCCAGGGACAGGGGCTGGGCCCCAGACGTCCAGGTGCAGGGTCTTGAGGGGTGCGGTGGCAGGACAAAGCGAGGAGAAGTGAGGAGCACATCGCAGCCGGCTCTCAACGTATGGCGTACACGTCACTGCAGGCGAGGGAGGGACGGCAGGAAGCGACGCAGGGAGACCGAGGTCTAGACCATGCTGAGACATGTGACGCAGACGCGGGAGTGCCGAGTGACCTAGGCGGTGGTGCCACAGAAGCGACGGATGAGTGAGCGACTGACACGAGCATGCCGCAGCGACCTGGGTAGACGCATGACCCAGGGAGGACGCGCTCTCCGGTGGGGGGAAGCAGTGTCCAGCGTAAACAGGCCACACACCGGGTTCCTGGGGGAACGTTAAAAGGGCGGCACCTGAGGCGACCTCGGTACAGACAGCGTACCGCTCGTGACCAGGGAACGTAGTGGTGACGTCGAAGTCCTGAAGATAGCCGACACCGACTAAGTTCCTGGAGAACGAGGGGATGTGCAAGCCTGTAAGGGAACCCGAGGGGGCCACTGGACA